GCCATGCAGGGATGCAAAGGCAGATGGGGAGGGAAGAAGCCCCAAGATTTCCCAGGGAGTGGATTGAGTAGCTGGGTTGTACTGGATGCAAAGGATCAGGGAGAGTAAAGGTAAGCCTCGGAGCCCCAGAAAGAGGCTGTCAGCCCCAGAAAGAGGCTGGCGGGGGTTGGAGGACCAGGGAAGTAGAGGGAGATGAGGGCAGGGCCAGGACCAGAAGCGGTGCTCCTGGAGCCCAAGAAAGGGACTGAGTTGCTCTGGGTGAGAAGGGTCAGGAAGCAGTATTGGTTCCCCAGGTGTTAGGGCCCCAAGACTAGGAATGGAGCAGGGCTCAAACTAGGAGTATAGAACAGCGAGGCGGGGGGATGGAAGGGTGAATGTGGCTTAGGGAGTCCCGGCGCAGAGAGCTGCGCTATCGACTTACCCCAAGAGGCCTGAGGATAGTAGTGCCACCCATGGAATTTTATTCAGTCACAAAGCAAAATGAAATTATTAAATTTTCAGGGAAATGGATAAAACTGGAAAATATTGGGTTAAGTGAGGTAACCTGTGCCCAGATGTTCTATCTCATATGTGGATTCTAGCTTCTGGTTTAAAATTTTTTTAATGTATTTTTATGTATTGGTGTTTTGCCTGCACACACACACATATATATGTGTGTGTGCACTCATGGATGCAATGGCTTCAGAGGCCAGAAAAACTTTGGATCTCCTGGAACTGGAGTTACAGTTGTTAGCTGCCATATGGGTGCTGGGAACTGAATCCTAGTCCTCTGGAAGAGCAGTCAGTGGTCTTAATCACTGAGCCATCTCTCTAGCCCCTTAGCTTCTGATTTGTATATACATGTATTTGTGTGTGTGTGTGTGTGTGTGTGTGTGTGTGTGTGTGCGTGTGTAGAAAACAGGAAACCAGAAAGGAGACCATAAGAAAAAAAGAAACTTCAAGGGAGATGTGTAGAAAGAATAGCAAAGACAAGTAATATGGAAGTGCAACAGGAAATATTGTGTATGGAAGGAAGGGTTTAAGTGGGATGCGGGGTCAGGGAGATGGGAGAGGGGACCCGCTGGTGTGGAAGGAATACCCAAAACCAAGTATGTATGAAAACACCCTAAGAAAACTTACTACTTTGTAAATGATAAAAATACAATAATTAAAATTGATACTGAAAAAAAAAAAACTAAAGCACTTCAGTCTACAAAACATAAGGTTTAAGATATCTGTGTAAAGAGGGTAGATATTCCCTAAATACTAATTTGAGCAATAGTCTGCAAATATGACCTACCACAAATATTTAGGCATTGACGCTCTACAAAAATGGCTCACCAAAAAGCACATCTGTCACTCTAAAGATGGTTTCTTAAACAGAGTGCCTTAAAATTTCAGTTTTCAAAGGAATCTGTTCTTGATTTTTAACATTTTCTTCTTGGTTAGCAGTTAGAGGTAAAACTTTCTAAATGAAAGTTTTTTTAACCAAAAAGTTAAAGATGATGATGGTTTCTAAGAGCAATAGTGTCTTTGAAGGGAAAGATACATTTACAAAAACGCAGCCAAATTTCCTTGAGCTTGGATCATGGGACGTCTACTTTAATATGTCTTTCCCCAACTTGCCTTGAACCCCAACTGGGGATCATGTGGAGAGACAAGGTAGTATTCAGATGTATGATTTTGGGGTCCAAGGTCCTGAGTACAGCTTAACAAAACACAACAGTTGATTTGAGTGTGTAATTACATGGGAGAATATGGATGTTTGCTTCACACAGCAGATGAGGTCATACTTATAATAATAATGTAGTGTACCTGTTAGGCCATGATTCAAGATTCCCAAATTATAAGGATTCCTGTCTCAACTCTCTAATGAATGCTCTCGAGATCAACAAACACTTTTTTTTTTTTTTTGAGTGCCTTGACAGTTCTAGTCTTGGTCACAAAAAATACCACAGGCTGAGTAGTTAAATGATCGGAAAAATAAGCCCCTTTCTAAGTTCTCTAGTGTCCTGCTTATTTTCAAACTGTAACAAGGGAAAAAACAAAACAAAACAAAAACTTGTGATTTAAGAAGCATCCTGCAAGCAAGGGCCAGAGATGTCCTTTCTCAGGCGGACCTGAGGCTGATGGTTCAGAGGCCACATTTTTTTAAAAAAAAACAAGACAAAGTAAAACCGGGATAGGAATGGTGCGACCAGAGTCACCAATTAGACAAGTTCTCTTTTGATCTGGGCTTCATTCATACACCATAAAGCCCAAACAGCCTGAGTCTTTGAAGGCAGTACCCGAGGAGCCGGCTGGGAACAAAGCCGCCCACGCTCCAGGGTTGCTGACACCGGCTCCACCTGCGCAGGGCTGTCGCAAGCTCTTCGGGACTTTCCCCCGCTCCGCTCAGCCTTGTCAGTCAGCCTCAGTCAGTGCGTCAGTCGCCGTCAATCTGCCACAGGTAGCGAGACCACGGTATCCACGGTAGACTGCGAGGGGCCCTGCCGGAAGCTCGATCTCCTCCCGCCCCGGGCAGGCGGATCCGGAAGTGGGGGTCGGCAGCGCGCGCCGCCCTCCGCGGGCGCCAGGCACGATGCTTCGCGGTCCCCAGCACCGCCTCCGGGCCTCCGTAGCGCCCGCTGCGGCCCTGGCTGCGGCGCTGCTCTCGGCGTTCGGTCGCTGCTCTGTTCCGGAGCGCAGCGACCCGGCGGCCTCGGCGCTCAGTCCTTACTTCGGCACGAAGACTCGCTATGAGGACGTCAACCCGGAGCTGCTGGCGGACCCTGTGGCGCCGCGGCGGGACCCTGAGCTGCCGGCGGGAACCTGTACCCCGGTGCAGCTCGTCGCCCTCATCCGCCACGGCACCCGCTACCCCACGACCAAGCAGATCCGCAAGCTGAGACAGCTACAGGGGGTGCTGCAGGCCCACGGGCCTGGGGATGGCCGGCGCGGCCTGGGCGCCGCGCTGGCCGACTGGCCGCTGTGGTACGAGGACTGGATGGACGGGCAGCTGGTGGAGAAGGGGCGGCAAGACATGAGACAGCTGGCCCTACGCCTGGCTGGCCTCTTCCCGGACCTCTTCAGGCGAGAGAACTTCGGCCACCTACGGGTGGTCACCAGCTCCAAGCACCGCTGTGTGGACAGCAGCGCCGCCTTCCTGCAAGGGCTATGGCAGCACTATCACCCCGGGTTGCCGCCGCCCGACGTCGCAGGTGACCGCGCTCTGCCCTCCCCGACCCCCGGCCTCCCCAGCCCCAGTCTCTGCTCCTTCCAGGTTCCAGTCCTCCATAATTCGGGTCCTCCAGCCTTCGGGGCCCCCGGCCTTCGGGTCCTCCAGCCTTTGGGCTGGCCCACTCTGGGCACAGGATGCTGTGGACTTGGCTATCTCTGTTCTATCTATACATGTGCTTATACAAATCCATTAGGTGTCAGGTGTGAATTCTTAGCGTCGTCTGGTGTGGTGCAGGACGCTGTAGAGGTCGCTGGCGATCCCACAAGAAAGGAGACAAATGAAATATGAGTTTTACATTCACCGTTTTTAATCCAGTTGCCCTCTGAGCCCCAACCTGTCTCTTTTGCTGATTTTTATTTTTAAAGTTTCCGGTATTGGACAGAGCAGTACTTACATAACAATCTTGTACTTTTTTATGACTTCCCCAAGTTTTGTTTTATGAAAACATTTTTCATTTGCCATTATTTTAATGTTTATTATTACTTAAAATGATCTATTTTCAAACTGTTTTTTTAGTCTTTTCTAGCATCATATCCTTTCAAGAATTATAATCAATGGGAGTCAGTGCTGGGGATGTAATTGAATGGGTAGCGGGCTGGCCTAGCATACCAGAGTCCCTGGGTTTGATCTCTAGCATCTCCTAAAGAAAAAAATCTATTCTCTTTGGGACTAGAGAGATGGGTCAGTGCTTAAGAGTGCACACTGCTCTTGTAGAGGACTGGACATCAGTTCCCAGCACCCATATCAGAGGGCCACAACTGCCAGTAACTCCAGCTCCCGGGATCTGACTTCCTCTTCTGTACCCCAATGACAAAAGCGCTCATCTGCGAAGACACACACATACACATAATTAAAAGTGAAATACTTTTCTGATGCGAAATCATTTTACCATTTTCTTGATCAGTGTGCTTTTTTTCAGATACAGCCTAATTAAGTGTTCCTTTTTCACACTTAAATTTTTCATAGTTTGAGGGGCTCGAGAGATGGCTCAGTGATTAAGAGCACTGGCTGCTCTTACAGAAGACCTGGGTTTGGTTCTTGATATCCACATGTTGGTTAACAACTGTCTGTAACTCCAGTTTCAAGGGTTCTGATGTCCTCTTTTGGCCTCCCCGGACTCTGCACAACACAGGTGCACTTAACATATACTAAGGCAATACACTCATAAACATTTTTTCCAGTAATTTGAAATTGTCATTTATATCAGTGATTTACATGTATGTATACTTTTTTCACTTCAGATATGGACTGTGGCCCTCCAAGAATTAATGACAAGCTGATGAGATTCTTTGATCATTGTGAGAAGTTTTTGACTCAAGTGGAAAGGAATGCTACAGCTCTTTATCATGTACAAGCCTTCAAAACTGGCCCTGAAATGCAGAATATTTTGAAAAAAGTTGCAGCTACTTTGCAAGTGCCAGTAGACAATTTGAATGCAGGTAATATATCTTTTATTTTGTTTGTTTGTTTAAATTTTAATTTTGAAGCATTAAGTGGAAAAACCAAACTCATTCCTTTTAAAGCCCAGAGTTAAATTTATATTAGCATAGTATGTCCTGCTTAGATTAAGAAAATTATATAGATCATACTTATTTTTTGTTTTATATTCTTCTTTGAGCCTTATATATATATATATTAATGTACAAGGTTCTTGGGATGTTAATGGAACTTTTTATGAGGGCAGAGGTATGTAGAGCCTCATCACTAAGCATTACTGAGAATTTTAAAAATTGCCTTTTCTGAATTAACTCTTCACAAAATAATACAGATAAGAAATCATGTAAATCCTTTAGCTTTTGAAAACTTTATAAGTACTTGTTAATGTGGGAGAATGGTAGACCTTAGAGAGATGAAAAGTAAGGTTGTGGGGTGTTTGAGGCTTTTATGTGTAGAGAAGCTGAGTAGCTGTCTCTTTCTTGAGGCATTGTAGGGGTTAGCGCCTGCAGTTTGTCATCTGCCTTGGGACACTTAGAAGGTGAAAGCAGCCAGCATTAACTATGGGAATGGACAATTAAGAAAGTAGCATTTCCCCCTCCCCCAGTTTTCTAGAACTTCATAATCTTTGATGGATATTAGTAAGTTCTAATATATATGTATAGGTAATACAGATTTTATTATATTTTGAATCATTTCCAAAAGATTAAAAGTAGGAGATATTGGGGAGTGGGTGTTAATAATCAGTCAATTGTAAACCTGGATCTTTTATAAGAATTTTTTTTTTAAGATGCCCAGACTGTTTGAAATTGAGATTTTTTTTTTCTTTTCCTTCAGCCTATTTGTGCATTGAAGTCATGCATGGAGATTAAGGAATTGCTTACTATTGCTGGGTGTAGTGGCACATTCCTTTAATTCCAGCACTCAGGAAGCAGAGGCAGGCAGATCTTTGTGAGACTGAGGCCAACCTGGTCTACATGGTGAGGTCTAGGCCTGCCAAGGCCACAGGGAGACCCTGTTTCAAAAAGACCCCCCCCCGGGGGGGATTACTTATATTGTATTGAGAAATAATTCAAATTATTGAAAAATAATTCAAAATAATATATCAATAAGAATAAAAATGCAACATAATGAATATTTAGGAACTCAGTCTTATCAAAGTTTAGCATCATGTTTCAGTTAGTTGCTCTAAATAAAAAAATTGAGATCCACTGTCCCTCTCCTGGATTTCATTTTTCTCCTTTTCTCTCCAGAGACAGTTGTTATCGTGAAATGGATGTTAAAATCCCATGCCATTATTCATAAACAAATGGGATAGTGTATTGTGGATTTTGAAACTTTTAGGAATGAGATCAAAGAATACATGACTGAAATTTATTTTCTGCCACTTTATGGTCGTAACTTAATGCTTGTAACTTTAGTCCTACATTCACTATTTCTAGTAGTAGTAGTAGTAGTAGTAGTAGTAGTAGTAGTAGTAGTAGTAAGTAGTTTTGACACTGTCTTAGATCAAGCCCAAGGCCCTGTGCATGTTAGGTAAGAGCTCTGCCATTGAGTTATACCTTAAGCTTCATCCTACATTTTAAAGTTATGTTAAGAATCCAATTATATGGGCTGGGGACATGGCTCAGTGGGTAAAAGGCATCTACTACCAAGCCTAACACCCTAAATTCAATCTCTGAGATTCACATGGTAGAAAACAAGAATCAACTCCCACAAGTTGAGCGCTGCACGTTTACTGTGGCTTATGTGCACCGCTTCCCCTACACACAATAAATAAATGTAATTTAAAAATTTATTCATTTCTTTATGTGTATGAGTATATTGCCTGCATGTATGTAAGTGCACTGTGTTGTGCAGTGCCCACAGAGGTCAGAAGAGGGTTTTGGATCCCCTGGAACTGGAGTTGCAGACAGTTAGCTGCCATTTAGGTGTTGGGACTCAAACTCTAGTCCTCTGCAAGAGCAGCCAGTCCACTTAACCATGGAGCCATCTTTCCAGCCCATAAATGTAATTTTTTGAAAATTCCATTGTACCATTATAAAAACATAATAGCATCTATCCATTGTTCTGTTAATGAACATTATGCATAGTGGTTGAAATCAATGGATTCAACTGTAGAATTGAACTATATTTGAATCTTGACTCTAGAATATTGTAGACAAAGAATTTTGGCAGGTTCTGTAATATCTCTATTCCTGTTTCCTTCCATGTAAAAAAATGAGTATAGGAATTATATTTGCTTCAGAGGATTTTTCCCCCTATGCTGAGAATTGAATGTAGGGCCTTGCACACGTTAGGCAAGTGCCAAACACTGAGCTGTATCCTCATCCCTATTACTTTATGTGTTATTTTTAGATAAGGACTTGCTAAGTTGCCCAAGGTGGACTTGAATACAGTCTGTAGACAGACGGGTCTTGAACTTGCAATCCTGCCTTAGTCTCCTGAATACCTGGAATTACAAGATCTCACCATCAGGCCTGGCTTGCTTTACAGCATTATTGCAAGAATTATACAAAGCAAACATTTTAGTATCTAGCAGAACTGCTTGTGTTTGAGACAGGATCTTGCTATAGCTGCAGCTGATCTGGAGCTCACTATGTGTAGACCAGGCTGGCCTCAATCTCACAGAGACTGTCCTGCCTCTGCCTCCTAAGCAATAACTGCTTAATAAATGTTTTTGCTATTTTAACTATTTCAGCTTTTATATAAAGAAGTGGTTTTGACTGTATTTTTTTTTGTAATTCTGCTTTACTTAACAATGTATCTACGCAAATAGATATCTTATTCCTTTATAAGCTATTATTTCTTACATGATTTTGATTTCTGGATCAGTGTTTGAAATTTGCTTTACTCATCATTACATTTTTCTGCTCTAAGTGATTAGAGCTGTTGTGGTACTGAATCTTTTTATAGGAAACCATTTCCTACTGAAATTTTTCTTAGTTTTTAACTGTCAAATTAACATCCTAAATTGTCCTCTGAGGGTATTGTGAAAATTTATATCACATTATTAAGAATGTTCCCCTATTTCTGGGCATGGAGGCGCATGCCTTTAATTCCAGAATTCAGTAGCAGAAGCAGGCAGATGTCTGAGATTGAGGCCAGTCTGGTCTACATAACGAGTTCCAGGCCAGCTAGGGCTACAACAACAGAGTGCTATCCTGTCTCACCCAGAGTAATATTCCTAGCTATTCTATGTTAGGTGATTTGATTAGTGAAAAAAAGATATATAACATAGTTTATATTTATTCTGAAAATGAGTATTCTGATCCTCTTTGCTCCCATCTACTGACCAGATCACCAGAGTATGCCACCATGCCTGGGTCTATAAGATGCTGGAGATTGAACTCAGGGCTTTGTGCAAGCTTTCTACCAACTGAGCTACATTCCCAGACCCTTACTATTTTTTTCTTTATATTTTTTATTATTGTGATATAAACTAGGGATCAAACCCAGGTGCCTTTCATAAGTTAAGACAAGCACTTTACTACTACTCTACCTCCTGCCTCATCATCTCATCTCTTGGTTATTTGTACATTTTTCTTTTGGATCTAAGAACCCTTTGTGTGTTGTGACTGTGTTATATCTTTTAGTCTTGCCAATAAAGATTAGTCCTTTGTATATTGTGTGTTGCTAATATTTTCTCTTAACCTATTATCTTTTTGGTTTGCTTATGATAGCTAATTATATGGAATTTCGTATATTTTTGTATAGCCATATATGCCTTTTCATTATACCTTCTGAGGATTGTATTTTGCCTAGAAATTATTTTCTTCTCCTAGTCCCTTTTATTTTTTAATGTTTAAATTTCTAATCCATATGAAATGTTTTTGAGGTTCTGAAAGATTGACCAAAAACTCAGAAGTGTCATAATAGGTCAACCGTAATTCACTAAGTAAGACCATTTGTCTAATTTCCTTATTTTGCACAGAGAGCCTCACATGCCCTGAATAGGCTGCATCGTGGCAGAATTATACCTCATGACTTCAAGTCTTTTGTCTCTTCATTTTTCTTCCTGTATTTGAAAGACACTTTTGGTGATATGTTTTCTGAGACAGAGTCTTGTTATATAGCCCTGATTGACCTCAAAGTTGCTGTGTAGCCCAGGCTAGCCTTGATCTTAAAATTATCTTCCTATCTCTCCCTTCTAAGTCCAGCATCATACTTGGCTTCATTGGTTTTGTGGAAATTTTTTTTTTTTTTTAGTTCTTTTCTGATTATAAAATAGACCGTCTGGTCTGACTTTCATACTTTGAGATCTAGAACTTGAGAGTCTAAATGAACCATATCCTTTTATCACACATACCAAGCATTTTCAAGTCACTGTATTATATTAGGTATTGGAATTTTGTGATTTTTCTCCTTATGTAAGCAAAAGTTTTCTAACAGCTTTTATGTACATTCCTAATGACATGTATTTTTTGGTGTGTGTCTTAGTTTGTTTCTCCATTGCTGTGACAAAACACTCTGACCAATACCAACTTAGGGAGGAAAGGGTTTATTTAGCTTACAACTCCCAGGTCGCAGTTCATCAGGGAGCCCAAGGCAGGAACCTGGAAGCAGGAACTGGAGCACAGGCCATGGAAGAATGCTGCTTACTGGCTTGCTCCCCTGACCCCTGCTCAGCCTGCTTTCTTATGCAACATAGGCCCACCTGCCCAGGGGTGGCACAACCCACAGTGGACTGGGCCCTCCCACATCACTCATCAAGAAGATGCCCCTCAGACATGGCCACAGGCCAGTCCAATAGAGGCAATTCCCCAGTTGAGGCTCCCTCAACCCAGGTGTGTCAAGTTGACACTAAAGCTATCCAGCACAGTGTGTATACTGTCTTAGGCATTCTTTAAACTGAACTAGTACAGAAAGTACATAATATCAATTAATCTTGGTCCCATTTTTCCTTTGGAAAAATATTTTTTTTAAGAAACAGTAAAATAAATGAACAATAAAAATAATAGCAACTAAAAAATAAAATGAAAATTGAAAAAAAAATAGCAACCCCTACAGTTGACCTCTCTTTTCTCTCTCCTCTTCGTCTGTCCCTTCCTCTGTCTTCTCTCCCTCCCTCTCTCTCCTCTCTCCTACATTAGGTGCTACCTACTTCTTTATTAAAGAACCCCACAGTGTTGACTACTACTGACATTATAACCCCACAGTGTTGACTACTACTTACTTTATAGCCTAAGTACTTATCATCTGTCCCTTTCCTGTACTACCCACATGCATCTAAAAGTGAAGATGTTAGCAGTGTAAAAATCCCAGATTCTGAAACCTGCCTCTGAAGTTTCTTGGGCTGGAGTGGTATTTTCCTTTCCTTGTCCTCTGTCTGGACTGTTTTATCTTCTGCCTCTTCACTTTATTCTTTCCTCTCAATCTTACACAGTCCTCTGTCTCCTTTTATATCCCTCTCTACTTTTTATTAATAATTATAATATGAACTGTTGTATAATTTTTAAAAACCGATCAGTAAATGTACTTTATTATTTTTAAGTTGGGGACTAAAACTTTTATAACTTTAGCTCCCCTTTTCCAACCTTCTAAAACTATCAAAATCAAGTTCTGTTAACCCATCAAGTTCTTAGGTTAACTCTTTTGTTGAGTTTGCTAGGCAAGCATGCCCTTAGCAGCCAACTAGTTTTAAAATCTGAAAAAAACAGAAATCACCATTTACAGAATGCTTCCTAGTCTCATTGAACTGAAATCTGTACCTACTCACAGTTTCTTCTGATGGTTTCAGTTCTATCTGCTCATTGTACAGATCGAGTCTTAATTCTTCATAGGAAAAAAATTACTAGTCTTGTCTCCAAACATATCCCATTTCTTCAGCTCTGCATACGGCTTTGCAAATAGCGTTCTACAGGTATTTAGTTAACTTTTGGGGGGGGGGGTCTTTTTGAGTTGTTAGCTTTTTAAAAAATTACAGAAACTAATAACCCACAATATTTTACCTGTTTTTCCCCCCAGATTTAATTCAGGTAGCTTTTTTCACCTGTTCATTTGACCTGGCAATTAAAGGTGTTAAATCTCCTTGGTGTGATGTTTTTGACATAGATGATGCAAAGGTAAGCATTTCTTTTGTATTTTTTTTTCTCATGGTCTTTTGTCATCTTTTGAAATTTTTGCTGTTACTAAAGAGCTTTTCTGAAAATAATGAGTGTTAGAGACTGTCTTGTGGCTATCTCCTAATTTTGCTAAATAAAGATTGGTGTTTAAGTAGGCCTTAAGGACTTATAAATAGCTTAGATTCATGGAATTCTGAGAAATGTTTTCCTTTTAATGGTGATTTGATTTCTACGTGTTTCCCTTCCTCCATCCAGTTAAAACCCTATTCAACCCATTATATTTTACTGCTGAAAGAGGTTGTAGAGCCAATAGAAATCCAAATTGTTCTTTTTTAAGAAGCCAAACATCATAAAGATTTTGCAAAGATCTGATTCTTTTAGTTTTCGTGAGAAATTTCTGTGTTCTACCTAATGGTGGCAGTAATTCATCTACAATTTCTATCTGCCTACTTTTCCCTGTTTATCATGTTATTTTTGGACTTTAGAACATATAGGCAGGCTTCTGATGACTTTAAAAAGAGGTAAATTTTAGTTAAATCTTAGGTGCTGGGACCCATGAAGGGAGTAGGACAGTGTTATTTTCTTAGGCATTTTAAATGTGGATATTACAAGGTTATAGACTTCTGAAGCCTGGGATGGATATGCAGTATTATATAAAACACTACTGTAATGTGGAAATCTATGAGTTACTTCAAATTTTCTTAAATTCTAAAGGAATCTGTTTGCTGAGTAGAGCCAGATTTTAAACACATACAGGTAAACGAGCTTTACTTGGAGACTGAGTGATCAGCAGCAGATGAAAGTTAATGATGAGGTTTCTGTGCCAGTACAAGTCTTTGATGGGCCCTTAAACATCCCTCTGTGGTGTCACAGGCCAGACTTCATCATCTACATTTGTCTCAGTATTCTTATCTTCAAAGCTCCCACAGCAGCTCATTAAACTTTAAGTACTCAGGAGCTTTTCCAGCCCAGAATTCAAAATGCTTCCACAGTCCTCCCAGAAAGAACATGGTCAGGTCTGTCACAGTAATACCCCATGTTTCTGGTACCAATTTCTGTCCTAGTTTGGTTTTTTTTTTTTTGCTGTGATAAAATACTTTGACCAAAACCAACTTGGAGAGGAAGAAGTCTATTTGGCTTACAGTTCAAGCTGAGGCAGGGTCTCAACCAGGAACCTGAAGGCAGGAACCGAAGCACAGATCAGGGAGAAATGCTGCTTACTAGCGCTTGCTCCTTTGGCCTGTACACAGCCAAACATTCTATACAACCCAGGACCACCCACAATGGGCTGGGCCTTCCCACATCAACCATCAGTTAAGAAAGTGATTTACAGATATGGCCACAGGCCAATCCAATGGAGGTAATGCCTCAATTGACATTCCTTCTTCACACGTGTGTCAAGTTGACATCTGACGCTGTCCAGCACAATTGGCATCCTGGAGGAAACTAAGCCATTTTTTTTCTGCAGAATATTTTGGATGTGCCTGAATTTTTATTTACATAGATTCAGATTAAACAGTTTGAAAAGAACTCCATGTAGGGGGATATATCCTTCTGAATGCATTCCATCATAAGGAATTGTGCCAGTCTGTCACATTGTTGATATGACATATTTAATCAGAATGTTGCCTGCCAGATTTCTATGTTGTGGCTATATCTTTTTCTTTGTGAAAACAAAACCTCATTTGAACAATCATGACTTAAAAATGTAAAATATATATTCATTAAATCAATTGAATAATTTCCTTTTTAAATATAAAAGGGAAATATAAACCAGGCGTGGTGGCACATGCCTTTAGTCCCAGCATTTGGGAGGCAGAGGCAGGTAGATCTCTGAATTCAAGGCCAGCCTGGTCTACATAGTGAGTTCCAGGCCAGCTGGGGCTACAGGGAGACACTGTCTCAAAAAGACTAAAAAAAGGGCGGGGGGGGGCAGTAAAATTGTCTTTTGGTTTAAGTAGTTCCTATTATTTTCTTTCTTTTTCAGTGATCTGATAGAAAATAGTTTATCCTTGCTTAGAACTTATACTCTGCAGTAGGTTTACATACATAGTTTTACAGATTAAATAAAATGGTATCTTGGATTTACTTGAGAATAGTCCATTGGTAGAATAGTATGGCTGAAACAGGATTGACCAAGGATTGATTATTGTTGAGTTGGATGATGGGTACACATGGATTCATTATACTACTATTTTGTGTTTTTTTAATGCTTTAAATTCTCTCTGAAATGTTTTAAAAAATTAAAAATGGACGATCCGTGCGCTGACTTAGCAAGTAAAGGCATTTGCCACCAAACCTGACAACCTAAATTTGATCCTGGAGCCCACATGGTGAACAGAGAGAACCAATTCTTGCAAGTTGTCCTCTGATCTCTAAACACACAATAATAAATGTTCCAGAAACTTAAAAATGAATGGACATTTATAATATTCTGAGAATTGTGGAGATTTTTAGTTACTCAGGACCTTGTGAAGTGCTAGACCACTTGTGCCTTTATTAAGCAAACGTTTTTTAAAATATTTTATTATTTTTATTTTATGCGTATGAATGTTATGCCTGCGTGTAGGTAAATGCATCCATGTCGTGCAATGCCCGTGGAGGACAGAAGAAGCTGTTGGATCCCCTGGAACTGGAGTTATGGACAGTTGTTAGCTGCCATGGAAGAAGCTGTTGGATCCCCTGGAACTGGAGTTATGGACAGTTGTTAGCTGCCATGTGGGTGCTTGTCTTCTGCAAAAACAGTCAAGTGTTCTTAACCACTGAGCCATCTCTCCAGCCCCATAAGCAAACATTTTTTAATGACTGTTTTATATTAGGTGCTTGCTTGGAACTGAAAAAAATAATAATAATACAGAAGCTAGGCACAAGGAATGAAAAGTGCTATTAATCAGCTGTCCATAATAATAGGATAGTTGCAGTGGAAGCATTTATTTATAAGGTATGCTGGCACACAAAAGAGAAAATTGATTTAGGGTGGCAGACAAATCTTTACAGAAGACAAGACACAGGAGCTAGGTATTGTTATGTAGTGTTACCTGTTTGCAACTTCATATCTACTGTACTGAATGTATCTAGATTTTCTATTCTGGGGTCAGTTTTTGTATTTAAGATTTTCCTAGGGGATGGGGAGATGGCTCAGCTGTTAAGAGCACTGACTGCTCTTGCAGAGGACCTAGGTTCGATTCCCAACACCCGCACAGTGAGTAGCAACCATCCCATAACTCCAATTCCAGGGGATCTGACACCCTCTTCTGACTTCCATGGATACTGCATGACGTGAGTGCACCTACACACATGCTGGCATTATACTCATACACATAAAGTAAAATAAAGTATTTTATTAAGATTTTCCTATAAAAGTCATTGAGTTATCCAGATTTTCAGAGTTTGG